AACTTTAGTTTTAGCAAAATCTGCCACCGCAGTAATCTGCTATATCTGTGGATATTGCAGCTTCGCTGTCAAATAGTGTTGGGTAGGGTGAAATATGCTCTCGTCGAACATATCCAAATTTCGCGCAATTTGGTCTACTAAGAAAAAAGTTATGAGCGGGGAAGCGCCAAAGCATTTCACCCAAGACTTTTGAGCGCTACTGTAGAAGCGCAACAGGATTACGGTATGTAACCGTACTGGCCGCACCGTTATACTGTTCAACGCACTCTGACCCTATTGGGCCATTTCTAGATAGTATTTCGCTGTGACTGTATCGACAACTGGGAGCCCAAAAGTCCTTCCTAGTACACATGAGAACCGATTTACTCGTGAAAGTGCCAAGGTCACAAGTGGTGGCGTTGGTGATGAGGCTATAAATTCCTGGAAGTGAACACAAAAAGTCCTATTAGCTCTCGCATGGCAAAAGAAATGGTTACATGTGTCGAAGGAAGATTTTCTGAGTTTTTTTCACACCGGTTAGGCAGCAAAACAGATTCATTTCCCAGGGAGCGCCAGGATGCGCCAAATATAAAAAACTGTTCTTTTGCTAATTTTTTCGCCGTCCGTCCTTTTAATCTGTCCTCCCACATCTAGAGCCTCCACGGATACAAATAGATACGGGAAGGAAGCTATCCTCTAGCGTTATCCCTCTTATTGTGCCAGTCAATTGCTTTCTGCCTATAACTTTACAGCATTGCTTATGAATGAACTCAAAGTTTTTGAGTTCGATTCATCCACCGTACTTTTTATCAGTTTTTGTTCACAATGTATCTTGTAATAATCTGGTACAACATATGTGGCACAAAGCTATTTTTGTTGAATTTTTCGAAGAGATTTTTTGTTATGCTTGCCGCAAGCCCTTACGAGATGAAAGAGCTATTGGAGGTGATTGGTCGACGCTCAGGGCTTTTCCAGATTCAAGAATTAGTTTGAACTACACACTCTGTTTGGTTAGTACTAAGACTCTTCACTTTCATAGGTGAGCTTTTTGCATCTCATAAGCCTTTTTTTTATCGTGAACACGTGTTGCCCTCAAACTTTGATAGTGTCCATGGGCTACTTTTTTGGCCAACATTCTATGGTCACGTAGGAAATTATTGAAAACAGTGTACTGCCACTGATCAAACGAACCATCATCTCACCTCATTTCCCATTTTTACCAGCTCAATGTTTTCCCCCTGGGTTCTTTTTGTGGCAGTTTGGAAGCATTCAAATCACTTCCAAACTGGCCGTCTTCATTTCTCATGTTGGTATTTGAAACAACGCGATTTCTCCTGCTGTCCTCTTTTCCCCTGCTAGATTCTTTTTTTACTTCAACTCTACTGTATATTACAATCGCACAATAATAAGAGCATTCGCAAAGTACCACCTGAAAACTTGGTCTTAAATTGTTTTTTCTTGGGTTGTTCTGGAAATTCTAATAGAAGTACTATAATATATGAGGACATTAGTCATTTGTCTACGCTACTTTTTTCGGTTCTTCAAATTATATCGCATTCGCTCAATCAGAGCCAGGAGAGCGATTTGGGACCTTCCTCTTTTCAGCTATGAAGCGTAGAGGGAACTGCTTAGAAAGGGCTCAAGACCCAGAAAGTTCAGATGGACTTCAGTAGCGGATTGTACGGATTAGAACTTGGAGAAAATTACGTCGACTATGAGAAGACACCATTCGGCCATCGCAGGCCACCGTTATTTTCTACGAGTTAATTAAAGAAATGGCTTCTCTGGTTTCCTCGTAGGATGAATTCGAGGACCCTGCTGATATCAAATGTGCCGAGTCGAGAAGTGTCTTGGGTAGGGCATAATAAGAGGCCAGACATTGTATCGCGTGGATGACTCATCCACAGCGGACGAGTCTAAACGATGTTTAGAAGTTGCACTATCTCGAGGGACTTCCTGTTGGAAGTTCGTACAGCTTGTCATGACCCACGGCGATAGGGGAAGGCAGTTTTGGACAATTTTAACTCGATGTAGTCAGCTCTTTGCGCAATTGTGAGAACTGAAATCTCGTCCGAATGTCCCTTCCATGCCATTTCCCTCGTGGTAATCTCGTACAACCTTTATTTTTACTACTTTTGGAAAGCTTTATTCTCGCGAAGTGGAGGTATTTTCTCGCTTTCTTCGCCTCCGATGCACTACTCTACATCAACACGCCCTCTTTTCAACTTGGAATGGTTACTTCAAAATTATCTAGAACGGCTCATTTAAGCAAGAAAGAGATAGCCGGGTATTTTATGCACATAAGGTGAATAATGTGGTTATATATTATGGCATTCCATAGGGACTTCCAGAAGATTCTCTCTCTCTCGAAATAAATCAGGATCACCACGAATTTCTGGTGGATATTTCGTGAAAATGATTTCGAGAATACTCCAGTATAATACCTCTCGCTCACAGCTCCTACGAAAAGGTCTCGATCTACAAAGTTGCAAACACATGACTTCTTTTAAGACTTCCTTACGAGAAGTAGAAGTTTTCAAGATGACAGGCGCTTCGAAAACTCGATCAAGGAATCGTGAAAGCGTTGAGACCAAAAAAGGAAGGTTTTCTATTTCTTCTTACAAATATTTACAGTTGGGATAATGAACTATGAATATGAAAGGACAATCTCAGGCTGTTTTCAAACTAATGGCGAAAATGATGAATGACTTTCCCACTGACAAGAGCACCTCTCCCAGGCTGCCATTCATCGGTTTCGTTTTGTTTAGTGCCGTTCTTATGATCACAGATAATTTTGAATCTCAGTTTCAAAACTATGAATAAATAAAGTTATGCAAATGATATTGCGTTATTAAGCAAACTTATAATACTTTTTACATTGAATTGTTAGTCGATTGCTGCTATTAAAAGTGAGAAAATAGGAAAACCGTACAAAGAGAGTACCACTAAACGGTGAGTACAGTTTGCATATTGTAAGGTCTTTCGGAAAAAACCTGTCATAAAACTGCTTTTTTGTCAGATTTTTTTTGGAATATTTTGGAAGCTTCTACTTGATTCATGTGTAAGGGTAATCCTTGAGCGTGGGTAACATACCGACTTCCTCTACCTGGACTATTCAATCCTGCGATGGCCGAACTATCTGCCCATATCCAACACGTTACGACTTCGAATCCGGTCACTTCGTTGCTGGTCCATCGGTACTCATGTCAAATAGCTGGCGTTGAGGCCGTTCCTGAGCGGTTCTGGTCTACCAACTCCTTTTTGTCGTCTCATAGAATTCATTTCGAGCTAAAAATACTGCTCTAAGTTTGATATGCGGAAAGCAGCCTTATAGAATATCTGCCAAATTTCTTTTTATCACTAATCCTCTCGCATTCCGGAATTACGGCATTTCCGATTCCGCTCTTTTTGTGCCAATGTGCAGCACGGACGTTTTTTTTTCTTTCATTGTACCACTTGTATTTGCTCTCTATCTTTCAAGATCCCTCAACTAACTGTAGTGGGTAAGTGGTGCATCATAAGCATTTTGTTCTGGATACTTACTTTACCCTCTTAAGCACTAATTTCTGAACCGCAACCAAAGATTACAAATTTTTTCGTCCTCCATTTCGTACTCATAAGCCAGTAGCCTACTAAGTGAGTTAGCCGTGTCTTACCATACCCTTTCAGACGACTACTCTTCTACGAACTATATATGGACGTATATGCAGATACATGACTTTATCATTACCGTATGCTACCTGTCGATTCGAAGAGTTCGACTCGCAGCTAGTCGCAAATGTTCCCTTTTGGTACGGTAGTTGAAGAGGAAAAGACAAATCGTTACGCTAAACTTCATGTACAGGTGAGAACTTTTCCCACTTCGGATTCTCGGTCATCTGCCGCTATTCTGTGAACTACGCAAAGAGTTCAATGTTCATGTGCCATTACTTCGATTTCTATCCAGGATTTGCTGAGTCCCATTCCAGAATCCCTTAACCTACATATGAATTTTGAGTTAAAATTTGTGCATGGGGTCAGAGGATCTTCCTTTAATGACTAACGCTATAAGCCTTGAAAAAACTCCGATGGACCCTCGCAGTTGGATCAGTCGAGGTCGACTTGTTCGTGGAAATCCTAATTGATTATATGAGCGTATAAAAAGGGAGGAAAGTGGTTTCCAAGTTATTTTCTGCCTACTTTGATTCAAATTATTTCTCATAACAGAGCTAATCTCTCGGATTCTACGCTGAGAAGCGCTCCCGTTCTTCAGCCAACGTCTACGGGTGGTAATACCAAAAGTTACATAATGACCAGTAATGCTTTTCATCATCCTAGATAAAAGCAGTTGCAGTGAATCACTGAAAAGGGTTGAAATACGAAAGGTCCCTAACCTTGACCGATCCAACTGCCCAACTCTCTGAAATAATACATAAGGTTCAGGTCTTCACGACCCATTTCCAACTCCTTTCTACTACATACATGTACTGTATGACAACTCGCCCAGGAATCCCCCTGGAAGTACATAGTCGCGCTGAAGCCAAGTCACCGTATCGTCTCTCCCTTGGGAATCGAGCAGATCCTATTAACTCATGATCAGAATTGAGCCAAAATGTGGTAAAATATAGTAAACGACTTGCATTCAAGGATGACAAGCCTCTTGGTAGCTTATAGTTGCTCCCACAATGAGATTTGTTGGCCTGTTATGACGAGATCGACCTATGTCAAGTTTCTTGCCATGTGCACCATCCAAATGAGTCTCATAAGAGTTATACCCATTTGACTGATTTTGTGATAATCATTAACGCTGTTGGGCAATAGTCTCCACTTTCCCATTTTCGCCCGGAATCTAATAAATGGCGAAAGCTGTATTACATTCGAAAAAGAAGCGTATTGCAACTAAAAACATCAACTAATTGTTTAGACATGGATTCATATTCATAGCGCAATTAGTATGGTCGTATGTATGTTGGGTATTGCATTCGGCGTACTCCTCCTAGTTCAACCAGCATGGCACGAATTTTTTCTATTGTACAGGCAGACATTAACGGTAATGTGTCGTCATTTTATTTGTTTTCTGAGACATCAGCTATGACTAATTGTTTTAATATATAATGGGCATATGCGGAAAATAAAGAATATTTTCTTGAGTCATGGGAAAGGCGTTGAGGGGTTGATGTGATAATACGCCTCCGAATGCCATGATTGGGCCACAGAACTAGGAGACCAATGACCGCTCCTCCTGTTCCAGATTGACTAACTATCTGACAAGTCATATGATTTATTTTTGAACTGTATTGCTTAAATATATGCTTCGACACGCCTCAGAGACTTGGTTTCTACGCAAGAAAGATGAGCTTGCACTAATGAANAAGGCGTTGAGGTGTTGATGTGATAATACGCCTCCGAAGCCATGATTGGGCCGCAGAACTAGGAGACCAATGACCGCTCCTCCTGTTCCAGACTGACTAACTATCTGACAAGTCATATGATTTATTTTTGAACTGTATTGCTTAAATATATGCTTCGACACGCCTCAGAGACTTGGATTTTACGCAAGAAAGATGAGCTTGCACTAATGAACGTTGCAGAAAAAAGAATGCACAGAATTTCCGATATGCATGAAAGTGCAGAGGGGAATATTGCATCTCGAACTCTTTCAGGAAACAAAAATCAGGAATGCCATTGCTTACGCCTAGGGATCGAAGATCTGCTGAGTCGGACACGTAATGAGATCTCATACCGTCGGACCAGGGCGTTTACTGATTAGACCCCTCGGAACGTCAAACGAACAACAGGACAATCGCCAACACGATGGTCAGATCTCTTGTTGAATCTAAGAACGAAAGGATGCTATACCTCGTGTCGCTCAAGCGAGGGTGATCCACCAGACTAATATAGCTTGTGACACGGATGAATGGAGGCGTTACTAGCCCACTCTCGAAGAAATCGATGATCATTTTGGAACGACAGGTAGTATATGTAGATGATTGATTGCCGTCGTTCTCGTAAATACCTTTCATGACGACAACGAGTTAGAGAAAGAGCGGTCATTGGCCTAAGGCCTGATTATGGCACTTTACGCCACGCGCACTGTTTACAGCACATTTTACTCAACTATCCGCATATATACAGACATATATGGGCGTTTTTTTCTTGTCACTGAAATCAATAGTCTATTCCAGTATTTGAGACGCAATGATCCTAATGTATATTGGCTGTGTTATCGTATATTCTTCGCGTGTTGGATCGGAATGCATTTTGCTCATCTACTAACTGTTGTGGGTACCATATTTGCAACACAGGTACGTTCTTACAAAGTTCCCTCAAAGGAAGGTTTTTTTTTTGCTTTGAATGGTTGTTTGATCCATCTTGAATCGAAACTGGTGGGAGGCTATCAGGGGTTAAAGGCCGGGAGGAATATGGCATTCATACAGGGTTGGTGTTCACGCTCTAATCAAAGATCCCATTACTGCTCATGTTGGTATTGCTAGCTTATTCAACGGCGCCCTGCTGGTCATATCCTATCACTTCTTCCAACATCGTGTATACGCCCTACTGTTTCTGCACTGACACCTGCCACAAGAATAACCTTCTGCGACTGGACCTCAGCTGAGGAATTCGCTGTCTCTTAGTGTGCTCAGTGGGAGCGGACGCGTGCCAGAGTGTGAAACGAGGGAAAAATTTGATGCCGTCACACGACCGCCAGCTGTCGTCCCAATGTTGCGAAGTGTATTATGATGGGCTCCTTCACCTTGGTGTCAGTTTTGGTGGTTCCTAATCGTGAGATGAAAGCAATGACAGCTGTTTTCGAAACCCATTGAGGATAGGAGCAAACAAGAAGAACAGCAGCTTACTCTGCAAAATCCAGTCGAGAGCTTTACCTGACTGGGGTCGCTGTTATTCCGATGTTCTACGCAGAATCGAACTATCGTCTTCTCTCCTTCTAGATGATTTTCGGCTACCATTCGTGAATAACCTCAAAAGCTTGTACCATCAGATCCTGTGCAACCGTTAGTGCACTGAAAGTTCAGATCACAATCTTAGTCCTACTTCTAGACAGTCTGTTATAACTCCGAAATTCTGACAGCTTCTGCCGAACGTCCAAACGTTTCTTTATCGGAGGCTACCTTAGAATCAGGGAAATAGAGCTCCTTAAAGTAGCTGTTTTTGGCATGTGAGTACCAAGGAGTAGCTCGCCACGCTTTGACTTGCGACTGATTGTGAGTAGGCTACGGATGGCTAACCTTACTATCCCAGGGTTGACGCAAGCCCTTGTCTGAGCTGATGTATAGGACCAACCGCATCCAATGAGTCTCCACACAAGCGTACATGGATACACCAACAGGTTATAGAAGTCATAAATCAACTCATCACAGCAGGAATAGAGAGCCGATTCC